AAATCTCAAAAGGGTTGGCACTCCAGTAAACATCTCCTAATTCCATTTTTCCACGAACCCCTCGCGGCATCCTCATAGATTCATATTGCTGTGCAGCCTCGTTCGTCACCCCAAGCGTGAACTCTCTCCTCAATGAACAGCAACTCTGCATTCCTCTCGTCGGCACCCCACAGCCTGGAACCACTGCTGACCTACTTTCCATCTCTATGCATTTGCCTATTCTAAACATCTCCTATAGTTGGAAATATGATATTTGTCTTTCACGTGGTTTATTTCACTCCACTTTCCTCCATGCATGTGAGTGTCCTGACCTCCTGCTATATAGGGCCACCAGTCACTCTGGATTTGGACTTGCTAACCCTTTGTGACCTCTTGAAAAGACCCTAACTCTGGAGCTGGCACTGTGGTGCAATAGGTTAATCCTCCACCTGCAGTGCTGGCATCCCTTATGGATACCAGTTCAAGTCCCAGCTGCTCCTCTTCTGATCCAGCTCTCTGCTGTAGCCTGGGATAGCAGTAGAAGATGGCCCAAGTCCTTGGGCCCCTGCACCCATGTGGGAGACCCAGAAGAAGCTCCTGGCTCCTGGCTTCAGATCAGCACAGCTCCAGCTATTGTGGCCATTTGGGAAGTGAACCAGTAGATGGAAGACCTTTCTGTCTCTCCCTCTCATTCTCTGTAACTCCGCCTCTCAAATAAACAAACTTAAAAAAAATCCTGTCTCCAAATGCAGTCACATGCTGAGGAACCTGAGGATAAGAGTTCGAGAGGGACACATTCAATGTATAACAAATGTCCACTCGAGTTTTTTGCCCATTTCTTTTCGGATTGGATTGCGGTCACTACAGGTCCTGCTGTTTTATATGGCTTTTTTCTAGATCTTAGAGGGGTGAAGGTTTAAGGAAAATAAAAAAAGGGAAAAGTCCTACTGTGTTTTTAACCTCAGAATCTTCCTATTTGATCAAATCTACACATTGCCACAGCCTCACAGAGTGTTCGTCCCCATTGTCCCTGTAGAGACAACCAAGTCATCTTCCACTTAAATAGTCAGAATAAACAAGAAGTTCCCAGGTCGTATCTGGACCACAACCAATCAGCACTCAGATGACTGCTGGACTGTAGGTTACTCAAAGGCAACCATCATTTCCTATTCAGCTTTGACCTGGACTATGCCCCAAGCCGTAAGAACATCTTCTCATGCAATAACTACTACTGCCCTTGGGATAAGTAATAAACCCTCATCCCATGCATGAGGAAGTAGGGGCTCCTGGCAGTCAAGTTGCTTGCCAATGTCTACGCAGCAGCTGGCAGAGGCATCTGTGGACCTGGTATGTCCAGCTCTATCTGCTCTGCTGTGAAACCCCCTCCTTACATGTTGAAGTGCAAGGGAAAACAAACTGTGGAATCAGGACAGATCCCTCCACATTGCTCCATTCTGTATATTCACTAGTGAGAATCAGTACTGATAGCACAAACAAGAATCATCATCTGAACCAAGGGTTGTGTTTTTTTGTTTTTTTGTTTTTTTGGGGGGGGAGGGATTATTTCGCTTTGTTTTTACATATCAGTCAAAGAGGAGCAATGCTTGAGGCCTGCGTTGCATTACCACAAGGTCAGCTGCCACCTGCAATGCTGGCATTCCATGCCTGAGTGCCAGTTCGAGTCCTGGCTGCTCCAGCTCGCTGCTAATGCATCTGGGAAAGCAGCAGCAAATGGCCCAAGTACCTGGGCCCCTGAGGGAGACGGACGCTTTTGGATGGAGTTTCTGTCTCCTGGCTCAGGCTGGCCCAGCTCCAGCCACTTTGGCCATTTGGGGAGTGAACCAGAAGACAAAATACATCTCTCCCTCTCCCTCTTTTTCTCCCTTTCAAATAAATTTTTTTAAATGGGTATTTTAAGTTCTTATGTAGGTATGAATTCAATAGATAGTAATTTAATAGACTAGAACTGCAATTTAATCCGTATGTATGTTCCATTCTTGATCATTGTAATAGAAACTCAGGACTCAAAAAAAAAAAAAAAAAAAAACTAATGGGATGGTAGGTGAGGCCAAATGGCAATAAGAAGTAAGCTTTAATACACCAGAAAATTGAAAGCAGAGAGTGGTTATTCTACTTTTCTGTTACTTCTCAATCCAAGAAGGTGATAATAATGTTCCTAAATTGTCCACACTGGTTTGAGCCCTCTGCTGGCAAGATGAATTCCTATTTTTGAAGGAAAAAAAAAAAAGGATAAGCCCTTTTTGGTAATGGATAAAGAAGCTTTTGCAAGCAAGTCACAGCCCAGCTCGTGGGTACTATCAGACAACTGCTTCACCACGGGGCAAAGTCTGACCCTTCATTCCTCCCTTAGTAGAGACCTGGGCCACGATGAACCATCGTCTTTGTCTAACTTCATCTAATGGACTTTAACGGGCGGTCTTTCTCCGATGGCTACATTAGCCATCAGGCACTAAAACCGCTCAAAGAAAAATTTTAAGGAGTTTTACAAATAGCACATGTTCCTCCTTGCTGAGACATTCAGCTTTTGAGGAGAAACATCCAGAATCATGTGGTCATTTAATAATCAGTTTTTGTATATTTCATCTTTTTCCCCAAGGCAAAGAAAATAATGGCACTTAGAGAATGTGTCAGTGACATCCTTGGTTTACAAAGGACCTCCTGAGAGCATCTTGGAACGCTGTTTTACATCTCTGTGTTTTTATTTTGCTTTCCTTTGTGTTCACAGCCTGCTAGCTGCTCCATGGGGCACAGCTTACTATGGCACATGTGGGCTATGTTGTGAGGACATGGCACACTCTGAGCACCTGAACACTTCGGGTCATGGACTCTGGACCTTATGGCCCAAGTCACATACACTTTACCAAAAGCATCTGGCTCAAGACTTTTCTAGCTCTCCTCGTAGGGGACTCGGGTTGCTCAGCTGCTGGTGGGTTAGATTAACATCTCTGTTCAGCTTCAGCTTTGATTCACAGCCGGGATTCGTGTGTGGGCTTCTAGGAACAGGATTCTAGAGCAATCCTCCCAAGTGGTTCGAGTTGAGCAGTCAGGCAATCCCTCTTGCTGCTATTCATTTTCTCACTCTACTTCCCCACATCTAACCCAACTAGTGTTGTGCTGATAAATGTACAACTTCAGGCTCTCCAGATAATGCAAGTAAATATATGCATATATATGAGTTTATGTCAATCTCATTGACATAGAGTATGTATATCAAAAACATTACAAATAATACTCTTAATTGTACATTCCATATAGCTGATGGATTCTTGCAGAATGTTTTCCTTGATTCTTACTAAGCTCTCTTATCCATAACCGATCTATGATTTCAACCAATATAGGAGTACACTATCATGAGAAGGTTGGCTCGTATTTCTGTTTGCCTTAATGAGGAAGTGATCCGAACATCCTTTGACTGTCAATGATGTAAGCTACTCTTTTGCTGATTCAGATAACAGTTTTCTAATGTGTGAAGACAGTGTCCTCAAATTTTTGTTTTATTCACAATGTAATGCTACAGACAGATATGACAATATTAGGTTTTATCTGGATTATTAACGTCTTCTCCATCTCATTCCTAAGTCTAGGAAGTCATTAGAGCAATAAATCAAGTCCAAATTTGTAGCAGTTATCATTTTCATGCCATAAATATTTCCACCATGGCTAACGTCAAGCTGCCAAAGTGATAACGTTAAACATGGACTTGAGGAGAGATCCACAGCAGTGACCCATTAAATGCTATTAGCATCACATAAAACCAAGACTATAAATAACATCCAAGGGTTAGATGAGGACAGAATAAGTAGTGTAAAGTCTGAGTATTCTAATATAATATAATTATAAATTTATAAAATTTAATAACTGTGTTTAACAACAGGTTCTAAAAACTTCCAAAAATGTAACAATCGGTTATTGCAAGCTGATAGAAATCAGCTCCAGCACAACACTGCATTGGACTCTTGAGACATTAGATTACACCATGGACATTTAGGTAACAAAATTATGACTAAGAGTGAGAGAATTTAGTCCTGTAAAGGCAAGGATCTTTGTTCATTGATGCTTTTAATGTACTTAGAAAAGTAACTAACAGATTGTAGGTGCTGTAAAAATCTGTTGAATTTGAAATAGAGGTATTTAGTTATTTCACATAAGTGAAAAGTTCAAACACAGGTAATTCCAGAGCTGACCCATCCAGGCCCCAATCTACTACTCTGTAGGTGGGTGGCCTTTTTCCTTTGGGTACAAGGTGGCTGCCACAGCCCCAGACATCAAGCCCTCACAAGACAATGTCTACAGAAGGAAGAAGGCAATGATAACTGGGTTAGAATCAGTTGTCTCCTTACATACCTTCCTGTGTTCCCAGGATGCTAGAACAGGGAGAAAAGGAAAGCCAGCAACACTCTTCCCTAGATTCTAGGATGGGAGATGATAAAAAGGAGGCTGAAGGTCCCTGGGGTCGTCAAATGACTTCCCTGGCTCCCTGCCATGCCAATTCAATGCTAAGTATGAAGTAGCACAAATGTTTACTTTGGCTCAAACGTCTTTCTCCAATAAAGGTGAGAACATTATTCTAGAGTTTTCTATCCTTACTAATCTCTTTCAAATATTTTGTAAATAAGATCTATGGTGGTTTTTCCTAATTGCCAAGTATTATCCTTAGAAAGAAATAGAGGAAGAATTTATGTACAATTTGACCAAATAAGGCCTATCAGATTATTGTAGTCAGGTTCCTAGTGAAAAAAAAAATAATTAGAAGAGAAAGCCCTTGTAAAATTCCCTACAATTCCATAGAACATTCAATGAAAATGCAATACATAGGGGATTTGAATATAAGATCTTAGAAGTGTGTGTTCCTGGGTGTGATGCCCATTAATGGTTAACGAGGAGAACAATCAAAGCTATTCACACAGAAAATGTTTGCACGCCAGCAACCTGCTGTGCAGTTGACAAGGCTCATTCCACCTGATATTCAGCCACAGCCCAAGAGAATCCTTGCAGCTTACCTTGGCCTCCCAAGGCTGTCAACGTGGATTCTGGTCACCGACGAAGATTCTTCCCCACCTGTCATCATCCAGACACATCTGTGACAAAGAAAATCCATGAATTCAAGAAAAGGCAGCAGAAATCAATGTCAAAAATAATGGTGGCTGGAGTTGACTATTTGCAGGCTCACAAAAGAGCCATAAGATTTAGAGCCATGTGGAACCTGGAGATGATCTTCATAGCTGTGGCCCAGACTCCAGTACCAACTCGTCCTGGGAAATGATCTCCAACAGAGGAAATTAGATTTCTCAGGGGACTTTTAGCCTGCAAATCTTAAAAACAAAAATGTACAGTATCTACCTTTTCCAATCCTAATATCACCATGGCCCTCCCTTCTTTTACTAATGAAATGCTTTAAAAGTGTTTAATTCTGGTAAAATAAGTATTAACATAAAACTTCTTATTTAAACCATTTTAAGTGTACATTTCAGTAGTGTTTTCTCACTGCTGTTCAACCACTTTACAGAAGTTTTCATCCTGCAAAAGTGAAACTCTATACCCATTGGACACTGACCCCACCCTCCAAATCCCGGCCCCCCAACCCTTGGTAACCATCATGCTACTTCAGGCCTCAGTGAATTTGACTGCTCAAGATATCTCATACAATTAGAATCATATGTCTTTTTCTTTTTGTGATCATTTATTACACTCAGCATAATATCCTGAAGATTCATCCATGATACAGCATTTCTCAGAATTTCCTTTTTAAGGCTAAGTGATATTTTTTCACTTCTTTTTTATTTTAAGCATTTTTTGAGAAACATAATTAACTTTAAAGAAGAACCCGAGAATGATACATATTTTGTGAGCACTTAGACATAACTGTAACTTATGAGACATAAGCATATCCCCTACTTAATACACTAAAATGAAGTAAATCTTTGAGAACACATTTTACTATTAACTCTCATAATACAAATCTTTGAGGACAGGTCCTGCATGGGAAGTTAGTGCACAGTGGCTCCTGTTGTTGATTTAACAATTAACACTCCTATGTATGATGTCAGTGATCACCCGAGGCTCTTGACATGAGCTACCTAGGCTATGGAAGTTTTTTGAGTCCGCAAACTCCATCAGTATTTAAACAAAGCCATAAACAAAGTGGAAGTTCTCTCCTCTCTTCAGAGAAAAGTACATCCTTCTTTGATGACTACTTCTTTCCACTGGGATCTCACCCACCAAAGTCCTTCATGTAGTATACTTTTTGCCTCAGTGTCTTGGCTTTCCATGCCTGAAATGCTCTCATGGGCTTTTCAGCCAGACCATAATGCCTTAAGGGCTGATTCTGAGGTCAGAGTGCTACTTAAATCAATTGTCATTCTTTAAGTCTGCTGAATAGACTGCTTCTTCCCATGTTGGAGCATCTACTCCTTTTTAATTCTACATATTATTACTACCAAACACTTAATCCTACTTATATGATCATTTTAACACTTAATACTTTCTATATGATCACTTTAACACTTGATCCTATCCACAGAATCACTTTAACACTTAAAATGCTATATTTAATCACCCAGCTTAAGGAGATTTGGGGCCCCAATGCAAGTTTTCAAACTGTATCCCTATGCTACCATAAACAAAATGGTCCCTAGGAATGTATGCAGAACTATTCAGCTTTACAGTACAAACTTCACACATTTCATAATTACAACTTTAGGAACATGGTGATTCTTCCCACCATGCCTGCCCTCCCACCCACACTCCTACCCCCTTTCTCCTCCTCTTTATTCCCACTCTTATCTTTTACTAATATCTATTTTCAATTAACTTTACATACAAAATGTTTTATATAATATTTCATGCCATATTTTATTTATTCATTCATCGATCAGTCTACATTTGAGTTGCTTCCACCTCTTGGCTATAGTGAATAATGCTGCTATAAACCTAAGTATACAAATATCTCTTTAAGACCCTGATTTTATTTTTCCTTTTAAAGATTTATTATTTATTTACTTGAAAATCAGGGAGACAGGGTAAAAGGGAGAGAAAGAGATATATCTTCCATCTGCTGGCTCAGTCCCCACTGGACACGTAGGTTTGGGCCATGCTAAAGCCAGGAACCAGGAACTCCATCCTGGTCTTCCACATGAGTGGCAGGGCACACGCACTTGGGCCATCTTGTGCTGCTTTCCAAGGCTCATTAGTAGGAAGTTGGATCAGAAGTAGAGCAACCAGTACTCTAAAGTAGAGTGCAGGCAGTGGCATAGCCTACTGTGCCACGATGCCAGCCCCAAGACCCCAATTTTAATTCTTTCAGATATGTACCCAGAAGCAAAAATTCTGTATATTATAGTAATTGAACTATCTCACTGTTCCCCAAACAGATGAACCGTTTTACATTTTCATCAATAGTACACACCAGTGGAATCATCTTAAAAAAAAACTTGTTAACATGGACGAAGGGTAACATGAGAAACTCCAGTCTAGTCCAAATCAGTATTTCACAAATGAAGAAATCCAGCTGCAAGACATGAGGGACTTGTGCAACATCACACAGCTCATTCATGGTTTAGCAGAAAGCATAGATCACTCATTGACGTCACAGACAGAACTGAACAGGGAAATTATTTATAGAGGTATGAGCAACCTTAAGGGAGCCAACAGGAATATAAAAAGACACTCAGGAAAAGAAGAGAGACAGTTACTACCCCCTTGGTCTTGAATGAGAATGAAAGAAATGATGTAATGGAATCCAATGAAACCTAGAACCATGAGGATGGCTGCCCAACAATAAACGTCCTGTAAAGGATGAAGCTGCCCCCAGCATGTCAGCACTGATGGAACACAGGTGGGAGATGCCCAACTGCTTCTTCCTTCTGCCCATTCACCTCATGCCAGTTCCTGCCATTGGCCACACCCGATCAGAAGCAAGCACACAGGAGAATGAAGTATGGATGGATAGGTCCCCAGGGCCCAAGAAAGCAGAAAATGGTAAAAAGAGAGAGAAAGAAGAACGGATGGGTACTAGAAAGGCAATCCATGGTGTCTGACATAGAGAGTATCTGTAGGTATTTTTTTCATATTGTTTATGGTAGCAAATTAACAATCTAGACTGTTCAGGCCATTAGTAAATGGAGAACAACCCAAAAATCTCATCACCCAAGACATCTAACCGAGTATTTTTGTTCCAGTGTGTAATGTATGCAAACATAATTGATTCAGATATTGAGTGCATCCTCACTGTTGCACAACAGGAGCACCAGAAGGTCTACAAAGTGGGGACGTAAAAAGAACTCAAAGGAAAAGCAAGAAACAGATCTTCAGGCCACACTTACACAGCAAGCACGCTGCTCTTCATTAACTTGCAAGTTTATTCGGGCACTGTGGTGGAGCTGCTGATGGAGACGAGGGCTTTGCTTGAAAGCTGCCATGTGCAGAGAGGCTCACGTGTCTTTTCAGGTGGGCACCATTGGCTTCTCCTGACACCTGTTCACGAAAGCGGCTTTGCTTCTGCCACAGGAGAGAGCATTCCTCCCCTCTGGTGGACGTACCATGAAGGGAGCCATCTTGGAGGCAGAGGCCGGATCACCAGACAACAGGCCTGCCTGCACCTTGAATTTAGATTCGTAACCTCTGGAACTGTGGGAAATAAGTTTCCACTCTATAAATTATACAGTGTCAGGTATTCTGTGATAGCAGCCCAAGTGGAGTAAGGCAGTAGGTTCAGGAGGGAGATGATTTATGTGGCAGCAAAAGCTTCCCTATTCAAGCCATCTCTCCACAACACAGTGAAAGAGCTCATCTGGGGGCTGGAAGGGAAGGGAGAGGGGCCGACATTTTGGCATAGCCGGTAAAGCCACCACCACCTGCAGTGCTGGCATCCCATATGGGTGCCGGTTCAAGTCCCAGCTCCTCCACTTCCAATCCAGCTCTCTGCTATGGCCTGGAAAAGCAATAGAAGATGACCCAAGTCCTTGGGCCTCTGCACCCACATGGAAGACCCAGAAGAAGCTTCTGGCTCCTGACTTCAGATAGGCACAGCTCCAGCCGTTGCGGCCAACTGGGGAGTGAACTAGCAGATGGAAGACCTCTCTCTCTCTGCCTCTCCTTCTGTTTAACTCTGACCTTCAAGTAAATAAATAAATCTAAAAAAAAAAAGTAGGGGGAGGGGGAGGAATGGAGAAAATAAACATCCCAACCATGGTCCCCTGCATAAGTGACGGCCCTTTCAGTCCCAAATGTTTCTGCCCTCTCCTTAATCCATCACCAATATTAAATCCTATTTCCTGTCCTCAAAAAAAAATAGATGGAGAATGAGCATGAGCACAACTAAGGAGCAAATAAACTGGAAACCAGAGCCATAGAGTTTGCTCAAAATGACACAAAATAAGAGACTTGCAGAATACTCAAGAATCTAGCACCAGCATCTGTATAAGAGCCTAGAAAAAAATCAAAAGTAGAAATTAAAATAAATATTTGATTAGAAATGCATAGAACTAAGCACATGAGGGTCCCTAAAAATAGTCAACATTATCCAGCTGGATAAATTTTATTATTATTCAGACACAATTGAGAACAGACAACATCTGTGTCCATCCACGTAGCTTAAGCATTAGGGCCAAGGACAAAGACCACCTGTCTCAACAAGACTTAATTGTTTGCTCCAGAAAATCCTTGCCCAGAAAGATAAGGCTGTTTACTTCAGGAAATTCCTGCAAACCAGTTTGGGTAAACAGTTTGTGCATCTGGGCAAACAATTTTCTTGGCAGGACAGAAGTATTTTCATCTGGGCAAAGAGATCATTTATCAAACAACTTACTCATCAATATTTGCTTTTAGCCCCCTGCTTCACTGTGCTCACAGCCCTAAGCCATTATTTACAGATTTTGCCCAACCTCAATCAATTCTCCACCTGGAACTAAATCTGCCCTAAATCCCATAAGTCCTGCCTCCTACACCTCTCAACTCTCCCTCTAACACATCACCAAGATCCTTGCAACGCGATAGTTTCTCCTTACTACAGGAACTTTAATCAAATTAGCTTTCCCCTATCAAAAGGCTATTTTAGGTAGATATTTTAGGGAGCTGACAG